AACGTCTATTTCCGTCTTCGAGAATTCTCTCTCTCTCTCTCTCTCTCTCTCTCTCTATATATATATATATATATATATATATATATATATATTGGGTGACAATGCGGCCAGTTAGCGAAATAACTTTGAACTTCTAGAATGCTCTCTCTCTCTCTCTCTCTCTCTCTCTCTCTCTCTCTCTCTCTCTCTCTGTGTGTGTGTGTGTACACACAGACCCTACCAACAAACACACACACACAGAGTGTACCCACACACAGACTGTACCAACACACACACACACACACACACACACACACACACACACACACACAGTGTACCCACACACAGACTGTACCAACACACACACACACACACACACACACACACACACACACACATACACAAATCTATCTTTTTTTTGTTCACTTTACTTTCTCGTTTTAACCATCTGGCTTTTAGCTTTTTGTTTTGTTATGAGTATACGTACGGTAGATACCTTCGTTTGTATGTAGTGTCGTATTATTATAGTGGATCCGGGCAAGAGCCGTGGCCTTCGGCCTAGATTCTTTTGAGATTCTAAACAGGATACATTTTGAAGCAGTTTTGTTACTAGATATCCCATTTTTCACTTGTTTACAAAGATTGGTGCCAAAATAGGCGCTTTGTTCACCTTCTTCACTCTAGTTACTGGAAGTTTACATATTTCACGCAATTCCTTTGGTTATGTTTATTTTATTTGAGTCTTTAAATACGTCGAATTCTCAAATTACAATTCAAAACTCAAAAATTGAGTTAGTGATTTAGCTAAATACGATGCGGACCCTGTTTTTCAATTGATTTCAACAACTCTTGTTCATATTTAAGAATTTGAGAAATCTGAATTTGATCTAAATAACCTTTGACAGCCGCATAAATAACCGCGAAGTGACAAACTAGTCCAACTTGGACTAGTTTGGACTGAATTAACACAAATATGGCGAAGTGACAATAATCGCGTAAAAGTTTTTTTTTTTTAATTCAGTAAATGGAGGCTACGCTGTAGCAATTGCAGGTCACATAGCTTTTCTTCCTAAGAGTCTTCGAAAAAGCCGAAAAGTTTTAGAGAGAGAGAGGGAAGGGGGGGGTAGAGAGAGAGAGGCAGAAGGCGGGGAGAAATAATACCATTTGCCTAAATCCCATTCACATTAAAACCTCACCGTTACGTGCCACCTGTTCACACGGCCTCACTCTGTCTCCCTCCCTCTGTCTACCATCCACGTGTAATACACCCACATGCACACATACGACAAATCGGCGGGGCAGAGAGACACACATAACTTCCTGTTCGGTGATTGGTTTTGTCACAACCACCCTTTTTGCATTTTTTTCCACCACCTAAAATATCTACTTGTAATTTCCCTCTCTCACTCTCACATTTTCCTTCTCCTTCTTTCCCAAGCCCACTGCATTTCCTTCACATTGACATTTTGGTCCACCGGCGTAAGCCAATTGTGGTGCCGTTCCCTGCGCAGCACTTCAACCAAAGGAGGCATGGTCCCAAATTGTGTTCTATTGAATATTGAATAAATGGAGAATAAAAATTCATTGTATTATTAATATTACTTAGAAATTAGAATATTGTAAGCCAATCGTGGTGCCGTCCGTTCCCTGCGCAGCACTTTGAAGTTCGGATCACAGGCCCCATATTTTCCCAGTTTATTTGAAGGCATGGTCCCGCCTCCAAATTCTGGGACCACCTCCTCAGTTCGCCGCCACCATGCACTTTGAAGTTTGGATCACAGGCCCCATATTGCCATGGAATTGAAAATAATGAAATGCAGGGGTAATGGTGGTTGGGAAACTTGGGACCACCACTCCTTCCGTGCTTCTATTTTTTCTGCCGCGGGCTTCTGCCGGCACGCTTGTTCCCGTCAAACCCTACGGGCCGCCTGATTTGACTTGCCACGTCTGCAACCTGCTTATTTTTCCTGTTACGGGCTCTTCTGACGCATGCTAATTCCCGCCAAAAAAAACTTACGAGGCGCATGATTTGCCAAGCGCTGGCAGCATTTTCCGGCCGATAGGTCCACCCTGCAAATATGCAGCGAGGTAACCACTGCAAGCCAGTGCGCGACGGAACAGAAAGATTGGAAATGGACTGATGGTTTAAAGCACAAGCGACTTAGAACCTACTTTGTAAAAGCAGAAATCTATTTCACGAGGCAGGCCTCAATCGAGCCTGAACAAATCCGGCACCAACTTAGTATATCTTTTATAGAGTAGGTACCGACTGGTAACTTCTGCGCAGCATCATGGTGGACGAACACACAGCCTTCGAACAGCGGATCAACGAGGTCACCATCACCCTAAACCCTGAAAAGCATTTTAACAACGTTACGGAGTAGGCGTTGGCTGATACCTTAACCACCAGACAAATTTCCCAGCCAGAAAATCGAAGTCACGATGTGCATGCTTCTGCGACACCTTGCACTGCTTGAATCAGTAGTTTCGTAGCCACCCAAGCGCCTTCTCTTGGGCTGCTGGAGCCATCAAGAGTTCTGCGGCACCTTTCTTATCATGCCGACGCAGGTCCACTGCGCTCTCCGCTTTCCGGCTTCTGGAAAGGAGTGTTGCTAGTCCCCATCGCAAGAGAGATGAATAGGGTGCTCCGGGGAAGGCGCCGGAAATAGGGCATTCCCAGGGGCTGGAAGCTCTACTCTAGCCCAGTACTTCGTCGCCCTTCTGCATCTGGGTAAGTAGCGTACCATGCCTTCTGGTTCGTTATCGGAGCAGACCATACATAAATCGGCGGAGGTGTTGGGGTCGAACCGCCCTCCTCCTGATGTGCAGCCATAGGTTAATTGGTAATAGGACATACGAGACGAGCCATTGGTCGAGTGGCAATGCGACATACGAGACTAAGGATTGACGACTCCTGATTTCGACAGGATCTCATGGAATTTGGGATTACCCGATTGGCTTCCTGAGTCCTGACCAACTAATTTGGACCATCCTTTCTTAATTGTCGAATCAGGAACTTTTTTTGTTTTCAGGAGTATGTTTTATTAACTTTTATATAATCTATACCCCATATTGACTGAGTACTCTGTTTTCTGGACGGGCACTTGGAGCCAGAGAAGCTCATTCAACGGGGGCGAATTGACAATTTGCAAGGAAATGAGTGGCCCGGGATCACTTGCCAGGCCGGGCAAAAAAAAAAAAAAAAAAAAAAAAAAATCCCAATTTGATGAAGAATTTCGATGTGACCCTGAGGCAAAAGTCGTTCAGTGTATTTTTCTGCATAACATAATTTTTTTTTTCGGACTTTTTTTTTTTTGCTGGGACTTTCCCTAGCTACGATTTGATTCAGCTAATTTATGAAGATCATCTCTTTTTCTTCTAGCAAATCCTTGTTTTTTCGAAGCATCCTGTATTTCAGCAGACCCGGCTGGTAGCCTGGCAATAATCCAGATTGCCGCATCCCATACTGGCATAGAGGTCCAGAGAGCAGATTGCAACACGAACTGACGGGCAAAAGCCGTAGAAGTCACGTGATAATGAAAGCCCTCTCATCAGAACATTTTTTTTATGGGAGATTTTTATGGGAGATAGGGGGCCGCTGGTACAAGCAGACACCTCTATCTCCCCCGGGGGGGCTCTATCCATTTGTGGGAAGCAACACCTGCTGGAAATCAGGTCCAGCGTCCCCATTAATGAGACGGAAGGAAAGAAAGAAAGAAATACACAACCACCACCATTTATGTTCGCACTTCTATAGCTTAAACGGTTAAACCACCCATTACTTCCTAAAGTTGTGCCCGTTAACGCTACGCGGTTTTAGGAAACGTACGGGCCACTACAGGAGCGCCCAAATTCATCCAACTAGAAACGTTTCTACTGTATTTTTTTCGGCGGCCGATAGCTGGGCCAAGTGGACCAAGGTGTGCAAGAACTACCGCGTCCGTGGGTGTTGAATGTGGTGTGCCTCGCGTTGGAAATTGCAGACCTTCAAAAGGGGGGGGTTGGGGTGGATATCGCGACCCGAATGGTTCCACTGAGAAACACCGTGTCCTCGCTGTAGTGATTAAGAGACTTGGCAGTTGGGGCCAAGGTCACCGGTTCGAATCCGTCTGCGCACAGAGGGGGGCTTGGGCCCAGATGTATGGATCCAGAAACCACCAAGTACACCACTGTAACAGGGGTCCCTTTACCGGAATATAAACCCCTACAAAAATAAAAGGGTACAACAGGGGTCCCTTTACCGGAATATAAACCCCTTCAAAAATAACAGGCTACCTTTCCTACATGTTACGTCTCATCTTAGGAGGGAGAAGATAAAATCTTTTCCCAATAAAAATAAGAGTTCGAACAAAAATCGATGTCAATGCAATACCAAGTTTCCCAACAAGCTGGCAGTATTAATCACAACACTGCAAGGCAGGCATCCAAACAAAGCAGTAAATAATCCTCTGAGAGTGCACGTCAGGGAACATCTGTGTGGTTCAGCATCTGGTGCTCAGCGCTACCATATCCGTCTGCCTAATGCGCCCCCACTTGCACAACAAAAAAAAAGCACCTACCGAGTGTCAAGTACCCCCCAGTGCCCCCACCCCCCTCAACTGACCTGACCCCAAATGTGAGAAGCCCGTATGAAGTTACTATCCATCAAACGATACCCATCACAAACCATGCGGCAGCGGCGGTGACGCCTCGACAGTATTCTAACTATACTTGCAAGCGGACGCCGTCCGGGTGGTTCCGCGCGTGAGGCAGACCGTCGGACCGGACCCACGCGGCGCACGAATGTGCGCCCGACGACCAGTTACGCACCAACCACCCCCCCCCCCCCAAAAAAAAAAAAAAAAACGTCCGGTCCGGGGGGGGGGTGCCGCATGCGGCAAAGCGGACCGGACCGGACACTCGTCCGGTCCGTCTGCTTGCAAGTATGGTTCTAACGCATAGTTTGCACACCAGCCTAGTTTCAACCACAGCACAGCACTAGGCCTGAGGAATATGTCCTCAGCCTCTTCACTAATCGGGACACTCGCACTGGGCCTTTACTCCATGCGCTTAGAAAACAAAGGTAGCCCACAAAGTTCCCACCCACACCTCGAACAATCTGGTACCACACACACACACACAGGGGGAGAGAGAGAGAGAGAGAGAGAGAGAGAGAGAGAGAGAGAGAGAGAGAGAGAGAGAGAGAGAGAGAGAAGTCAAATCAATGAGGCCTGATATGTGGATCACATTTGTGAAGTGCGCTTGCTATCCCAGCTCAAGCTGCCACACAGGCACACCATCCAGAATGGATCAAAAAGTTCCCAATAGCAAAACCTGCATCTACGTGAAGACACTGCAGCCAGATGCCACTGGAAAAAAAAGTTATCACTTTGTCAACACTACACCAGGGCATGCTCACACTAGAACTTTTCTAAAAGTTTTTTTTACTTACTTCGGGACGGAATTGCTGCCAGATGCATCCAGGTGCGGCCATACATGCGGCCAAATACATTTAAGATAGTGCTAGTGTGAGTACACCCTTATACCAGCAGTTCCTGCCCTTGTCCTGAAAAGCAAGAACCCAAAAAAAAAAAGAAAAAGCAAACCCAGACCCTGGAGGCAAGGCTTGAAAATTCGGAAAAAAACCTAAAAAAACTTCAAAAATCGAGAGAACGGGCCCGACAAAACTTTGAAAAAGTGAGAACGGACCCGACAAGCCGCCAGAGCATTCAGCGGAAGAAAAACGCCCAACACCCTCACAAGAAAATCCTGCTAGTCCCCTCATCAAGAAGAAGATCATAAGCTGATAAAGAAACTGCCACACTTCCGTGGTCAATGCGTTTTTTTAAATGAACTTGGGCATGATTTCGGTCATATGCATGCGAGGTAGGAGAGGTTAGAAAAGGTTAGAAGCAGAAGCAAAAGCGGCAGCAGATGCAGAAGGAGGAGCAAAATCATCAGAAAGGAAAGGCAAAAGATAAAAAGGTTAAAAGCTCAGAAAGTCAGAGGACCCAGTCATTCGCAGAAGCACTTTTTGAAATGAACTTGGCCATGATTTCAGTCAGATGCAGCCGAGGAAGTCCGAACTTCGATCTAATACGGAATATAGCTAGTGTGAGTATTCCTCATCAGCAGGAAAGCCAAAAAGATAGATAGGCGCATCGAGCGAATTCAGAAAGTCAGGAACCGGGCCGTATTCATTTGCATAAGCACTTTTTGCGATTGAACTTGGACATGATTTCAGTCAAATGCATTCGAGGTAGTCCGAAATCCGAAATTCAATCTACTCATATGAAAGCCATACCCCTTGGGAAAAATTATCAACCCACCACTAGCTGCGCACCTGACCTGCCGAGAGAGCCCAGTAAGCCCAGGTGTGAAACCGGCTTCCTGAAGTCCATCTGGACACGTGCGGGCCCATCATGGTCCCAGCTTGGGAAAAAGGAGCCCTTGCCCGCAGGTCCTGGTGGTCCCAGATGGGCCCAGGTGGTCCCATTCTGGGGATTCGCTGGCAGAATCATCACTGAGTATTACCGTTCCTGCGCATGGGCCCATACGGGCCCAGACGGGCCCATTCTGGTCATTCGCTGGCAGAATCGTCACTGGCATATTACCCTTCCTCTGTGTGAAGGGGCCCACCGCAGTCCCAACTTGGGAAAAAGGAGCCCTTGCCCGCAGGTCCTGGTAGTCGAAGAACTGAACATCATTCACTGGCATCATCATCACTGACATAGCACCGTTCCTCTGTGCCGAACCAGACTAGCCCACTCTGGTCATTCACTGCTAGAATCATAACTGGCAAATTAGTGAACTACCCTTCGTCTGTGTGAAGGGTAGGTGGCATACCGTTCCTCTGTGCGCGCCCACTCACTGGCAGTATCATCACTGGCATATTGCCCTTCCTCTATGTGCAGGGTAGCTGAGGAGGTTGGGTCGTCGAGGAGGTTGGATATCACCGAACTGAACATCATTCACTGGCAGCATCGTCACTGACATAGCACCGTTCCTCTGTGACGGACCAGTCGAGCCCACGCTGGTCATTCACTGGCAGAATCATCACTGGCAAATGTGAAATTACCCTTCGTCTGTGTGAAGGATAGGTGGCATATGCGCGCCCACTCACTGGCATATTACCCTTCCTCTATGCGAAGGGTAGGGGAGGAGGTTGGGATGTCGAGGAGGGTGGACATCACCACTGTGTCGTGTTGATATTGCTGTTCACAAATATGCACTCCCTGATAATCGCTGCACGGAACGCAATGGAGTTGAGATTACGAACAAGCACAAGGACCTCGTGGGGGGCCATCCTCTTCGACGCGTTAGGAAAAACAGCTTGCTGCCGCTGGCGGACCATTAGAAGAGCACTCCCATTGCAAAAGCCGATCGAAACACCTCCATCCCTAATAGTAAAAAAACGGCAAAACAATTTTCACGGATGTCAGAGAAGATAAGCATGCTCCCTGTGCGAGGACGACACTCGTAAATCGAGAAATGGTCCAAACGTGAAAAAAAAAAAAAAAAAAAAAAAAAAACNAAAAAAAAAAAAAAAAAAAAAAAACCGTAAAAAAACGACTAAAGCAAACACATTTTACCAGGAACATGATCAACAACGACTCGTAGCGAATAGAAAGAAAAAGTCTTAGGGAAAGCCGGGTAATGGCCCCGGTATTTCAAACTTTCAAAATTCGATGTTAATTTCCATATGGAACGCTGGGCCCAGTTCCCAGCACGTGCTGCTCCCCACGAATAGATTGGAGCCTTTTCCCAAAAAAAAAAAGGAAAAAAAACAACAGCTCGCAGCAATCGTCGACTGGGCATTATATGGTTCCCAGCACGTGCTGCTCCCCACGAATAGATTTGGAGCCTTTTTCCCAAAAAAAAAAGGAAAAAAAAACAACAGCTCGCAGCATTCGTCGACTGGGCATTATAATAATTTAATAAATACGAATGAAAAATGCCCTTCCTTTCACCCAAAGGACGACACTCCTTGGTGTTACATAGAATGGGAACCGTGGGCCCCAACTGGCCCGCAGTAACCAACTGGCCCGTTGGGAAAAATAGGAATGCCCTTCCTTTCACCCAAAGGACGACACTCATTCGTCAACTGGGCATATGCAACCAACTGCCCCGCGGAGACCGACTGGTAGGCCTACAAGGGCTGTCGAATTTTGCATTGATCAGGGCCCTTTGAGAGATAGGAGCCCCGCCTTCACGTTGGGCGGGCCAAAAGCTTGCAACGGGGCGTTTTGCAGGCATGCCGAGGACTCGTATCCTCGCATCATACGGGAAAGTCTGGCATAAAGTGCCATGAACAAAACAAAGGAAAGTCCAAAGAGCAAAATCCAAAGGAAAGTCTGGCATAAAATGCCAGGAACAAAAGTAATAAAGTAATAAAACCAACAAAACAAAGAGTGCGAGGCTACGCCCGCTTAGCCCCTACGGGCCTTATTTGCAGCAAGGTCGGCCGCCCTAAGTGAAGGCAGGCACGACAGGCCCTCAGGGCCTCGTTTTCAGGGTACCCCGCAAATGGGGAAATTCAGGCAGTTACACAGCATCAGTTGGTTGAATGAACTCACGCCCTGGGCCGCCTGTGTGAATGAATGTAAAGCAGGCCCTGGGCTGGGTACGGGTACCGGGCCAAGCACAGGCCGAAAGCAGTTGGGTGTATGCAACTACCTCAGGCCCACTGCCTGCATTCTTCGTGACTGGGCCTCAGGCTACCGGGGCCTACTGGAAGCTTCCTGGACAGGACGCAGGCAGGCCACTTCGATATAGGGAAGGGCCTGCCTCCTCATTCGACATTCGGGTGCTGGCTGCATGCTGCGACAGCACTGCTGCGCTATTTGCTGGCTGGCGCCCTCGCACTCACGGGCGAGTGAGGAAGAAGCAGGCAGCCATAGCCACGCTGCCTGCTGTTTGCTAGGTGGGGCGCTGGGTGGTCCTTGGGTGCTAGAGGCATCTGTGTGGTAAGGATCGGGGTTGAGAGCAAAGTGGGAGACATACCTGGTGCTTGAGACGAGCGGCATTGGCCGCATATGCTCGTACTTCGGTGAAGCTGTTGACGTCAACTTCGGCATTGTAGTAGTAGGCTAGATAGGACCTGCCATCTTGTGGTCTGGGCGCCGAGCGCCAGTAGGAT